AATCCACGCACTGCAGGTGTTACAGTGTTACATCAGAGTTCAGTTCCGTGCGACCCCGTCCTGACCCCCAGCCTCACCGCCGGTCGCTCTGTCTCTTCCCTCCGTCTACACTGTCGTTTTCCTCAACTCTCCTTCCCTCGGAAACACGTTAACGGCGCGTGTAAACAGCATGAGCGACCCAACCAGTGCAACCAGTGCGGACCATCAGCGGGAAGGCAGCCGCGCGGCGAGGCGAGCGTGGGGAGCGTGGGGGAGGCAGCGCCTGGCCCGACCCTGCCGGGGAGACCGCATGCACCAACACCACGCGCACAAAGACCAGCTCCCACACGCGGGACACGCGTGGAGCCTGCCCGGGGGAGCAGAACAATAACGCGCCGGGGTGCAAACTCCCCTCGCGGGTGGGTCGGTGGGAGACGAGGGGGGAGCGGTATCCCCTCGACAGCAGCCGACCACAATCGCGCCCCCCCCCAGTCTGCTGGGCACAAAAGCGCGCTCACGCACGGTGCGTGTGTTAATCTCTCTATTCCACCGGCGCGCTGCTCGCAGGTACCCGCGCACGGACACCCCGCTCTGTTTCTGAGCCCACTCTCGCCCCCCGTCCACGCCATCGTTTTCCCGGAGTTTTTTTCCAGACAGCAGCGCAGGGCGACCCCCTCTCCCCCTCCAGAGGGAATAAACCCCCCAAGCACGTACCTCTCGCTGTCCAGGGCCTCCCTCCCCGCTCGGGCAACGCTACTGCCCCAGTCCCGGGCGCCGAGAGGGCATGATTCCTCTGCCTCTTCTCAAAAAATGTTGTTGTTGTTCTAAACAAATGCAGAAATATGATTTTCAGCGCCTCTCGGTGATGTCCGATCTTCCTGTAATCGACCGCCGCGCTCTTCGGTAGCGGGCAAAGCTCATGGTTTTTTTTAAAAAAAGGAATTATACCCGTTTCAACCTATTCATTTTTATTTTGCTTTTTTTTTTTAAAGAAAAAGGCGAAAAAAAATGTAACTCAACGGCACATCCGCGGCAGACAGGAAGCAAAACGCTGCGCGACCTGCGTCTGACGTCATCGCCGGCGGACGGAGCTCGAGCTGGGCGCGCGGGGTGCCTGGCTGCGATCTCGCGCTGACGAGGATTTGAAATGTAGTTTGTTGCCCGTCAGGACAGAAACTGGACTGTTCTAGTGTATCAAAAATACAAGTGACCGGTGTGAACAGAACACATGCATTACCGATATCTGCACTGTATTAGGTATTCGTGTTGTATATTAGTGAATTAAGACCACCAAAAAACACTACTCACGTTTCTGGTTATTTACGTGATTTACTGTCCTGCAATAAAAAAAAAAACCCATTAAATTATTACAGTGCCTGTAATCCGTAATCTCCTCATCGTTTTTGCGAAGACCGTTGTAAAACTGTAGTTGTTGTTTTCTTCGAATAAAATTATTTGT